ATAAACTTCAGATGGATGATTGACTACTGTAAAACCTTTTTCAGATACTCAAATAATATATTTTGAATAAATCTCTTTAGGATGATAGGCGCCTAGAAGAGAGATATCATTTTTATTATTAGATAAATATTGGAAATATACATGATCATCATAGTCAGGCTCATAGTTAAGATCCGCTAAACCAGAAAAGAGCCTGGTTGCTTCATTTATTATTTTTAGACGCGGCCCAGGATTTTTTTGCATAAGAAGCATGGTGTATATACAAGAAACTAGTATAAAATTACATAAAAATCTGTAAATCTTCAAAATAAAAATTTTATATAATTTTGAGTGAATATGTTTGCTAGCAAAATACTGGAACAGTGGTAGCACCCAGCGCCAAGCTGAAAGAAAGTAATCAATGTGATAGTATCTAAAAGTAATACCCAAAAGTAATCGATGCAGTAATACCTAAAGTATCCTAAAGTAGTAACTATACAGGAAAGAGTTTGAGAAACGTAGGGATGAAAACTAGGGTATAGATTTGGTAATATCCACGGGTAGAATTATATAGAAATAAAATAAGAAATTATGCTTATAGATACTATCGCCGATAGGCAGGAAAGGAATCAGGAAGGCAAAAAGACTCAGAAAGATGCACGAAAAAAAGGTATGAAAGATCGATATAGTAATAGCCTGAAGTAATCAAGTATAGGGGTACTTCAAAATAGCAACTATACAAGAAAGAATTCTAGGAAGGCTCAGCAAAAACTAGGGTATAGATTTGGTAGTATTCACGAGTAGAATTATATAGAAATAAAATAAGAAATTATGTTTATAGATACTACCGCCGATAGGTAGGAAAGGAATCAGGAAGGCAAAAAAGCTCAAAAAGATGCACGAAAAAAGGGTATGAAAGCAATATAGCCTGAACTAATTCAGCACTTTGTGCCTCATCCTCAGCAATCAAAAGATGGTCACGAAAAGCAGGATTGTAAGAATGGCACAATACTGGTACTTCGTAAAAACTTAATAAAGTACTAATAAATAGGTGTACGCGAATTGAACTTTTTTACATGTAGTACTCGCATAGATATTACTATGCCCGATATTTACCTATATTCGATTAAGATGAAATATGATAGAAACACTTACGGAATATGAATATACTTTATAAGATGAATAATATAAATATTATGCTTACTCGTTTTATAATAATGGTCTAATAATATCTCGTAAATTATGAAAAGCATTTTGGATGACGGGTTTTTGTCATTTCCGTCGCTAAAATTTTGCATGACAAGCTGTCATTGAAAATAGAGGTAGCAAATTAACCGCGCTATCTGTCATTTTTTTTTTACATCACTTCAGCCTCTAGAAAGGCAACCAAATAAGCGCAAAGGGAAAGCATTCCAACATAGAATCCAGCATCCAATCAGGTGCAGGAGGCCAGTATCCTCAACATAAAACCAGATATTGAAACAGCTAAAGCAATGCTATAAACGCAAAGAAGCAATAAAGTAATAAAAAAGTCATAGAATACGAAAACAAGTAAGTAGGTAACAATCACTCATAACTAGGTAACAGTTTAACGGCAACCAGGTAACAGTTTACTCAGAACTAGATAACATTATAGTGGAACTGGATAATACTCTTATAAGAGTGTTATCCAGTATAAGCCATAAAAATAAAATACATAAAAATATAATGCATTATAATTAAGGTTGTTTATCTAAATTTATTTTAGATTTAGTAAATTTCTAAACTATAATTTTGCTAATTTTTTACTAAGGTTTTGATATGGTTCATTTTTTTATAATCTTTGATATAGTTTTACTTTTTTTAGAATTTTGCAGATTTTTTAATAAGGTTTTAATATAATTTTACTAAATTTTATTTTTTTCTATTTAGATGATTTGCAAAACCTTTAGACTTTATTCAGCAATCTTAGTTATAATAAATAATCTTAATCCTAATTCTAATTTTAATTTTAATCCTAATCTAACTCTTACTTTATTTTAATATATATAAATATAAAGGTGTGTATTTCTGTAAGATACGTAAAATATAAATTCTTATATTATATTTTTTAATTATATAATATTAAATTTTAAATTATTTATAAGTTAAAAATTTGTAATTTAATTTTTAATATAAAATTATAAAATTTATTTTAAAAAAAATCTTTTATTAATAAAAAATTTTATGATTTTTATTAATTATAAAATTATTTAATATATATATAAATATATAAATTTTAAAGAAATTTTAAAAAATTATTATAATAAATTTTAAAATATTTTCTAAAAAATTAATAAAATATATATCAAACTATTTTTTTTTTTTTATAATTATTATATGGAAGAATTTCTAGAAAATTCAGATTTTAAAAAAATTTTGACTAGAAATAGGAGTTTAATATTAAAATTAAAAAGTAATAAAAATCTCAATTTTATTAAAAAATTACTAGAATTTGATTTTTCTAACAATTAACCAATATTATTAAAATTAAATTTTATATTTTATTAAGAAATTAACAAATTATCTGCTAGACAATCTAATGAATAACTAGATAAATTATAATATATTATTTATAAATTATTAAAAAATTATAATTTTTATAATTATTAATAAAATTAAAATATATATTAAATATATTTTTATATATTAATTATATAAGAATATTTATGTTAAAAATAAAATAAAATAAATTATTTATAGTATGATTTACTGGTATTACTTTAATAGTTTATATTGATTAATAAATTACATTTTTTAAATAAATATATAAATAATTAAATAAATATAATAAAACTTATCTTTATATTTTATATTTATTTTAAATAAATTAATAAATTAAAATTAAAAAATTTAATTAATATTAAAACTATATATGATAATTAAAAAAAATCATTATATCAAATCATAATAATAGTAGAAAATAAAGATTTTTTTATATTTAAAAAAATAAAATAAATAAATATCAATATAAAAAGTAAAAAATTAATCTAATTACAATTTAAATGCTTAGTTATATTTAAATAAAATTTTAATTGACCGATATTTTTATATCTAAGTAACTAATAATAGATTATATTATTAAGCTTTAATGGTCCAAGAAAGAAAGGGTTTAATTATACTCTTTTTGCCTTCTCCATTAGTTAAAGAAATAGATTCAATTGGATTTGTGCTAATTTTGTTTCCTACACTAGGTTTTTTGTCTTCAGGTTGTTCAGAAGGATTATCTTGTTGAGAAAGTGTAGAAGAATCGTCAGAAACTATATCATCCTCAGTATCAAGAGGAGGAACTGTAACTTCAGCTTTCTCATTTCTATCATTGGTTAAATCAATGCCTAATTTAATATTATTTAATAATCCTCGTAAAATAGGTAAGAAATTCATCCAAACGGTTTGTGGCAATTCCTTCAATAAATCATTTAACCATTCGATTTGCCCTTCTTCATCTCTACTCACTCTTAAAGAGATGATTAAATCTTTTTTAAAATCAACTATATCTAATAATAATTTAGGAATTTCTACTGGATTTAAAGTCAATTTTGCTTCTATAGGTATAATATTTTGACCAGAATTTTCCAAATTGTTTTGAATGACAACGGATTGATTGGAAAATATTTCAAATATTGAAATACCATTACTTTCTAATGATAAAACAAAATCACCAATATCCACATGAAGTGGACCAATATTTTTAAATGAAACATCAAGAATAATTGTAGAAACTATTTTAACTAAATCTACAGCGATAGGATTCCATAAAAATAATGGAGGAGGTGCGAAAGATATCTCATTAAATATTTTAAACGAATCGTCTGAAAGATTTAGACAGTCTTTGGAAGTGCAAAGGGTTACAGAACCAAGAGAAGCACCTTGGGTAAATGATTTAAATTTTAGTAAATTAGGAACCGCCGTCTCTAGAGCTTGAGACATTGGACCATTTTCAATAATAAGGAAAAGTCCAAATTCCCATTTCGATTGACCTTTTTGCACGTTGATTTTACCAAGGGATTTAGTTATAGCACCAGGAATATCTTGAAAGAATACGTGAGCGAGTAGTGAAGGAATATTGACGTTTAACGGTAAGTTGGGAATAGCAGGAGTAGTGAATGAAACGTCTATTCCTTGTTGAGTAATTTGAGATTGGATATTATCAATCATTATTAAATTATTCTTTTGATTAAATTCCGAGAATTCACTAATGAATTCTCCTACGTCCATTCCTACCGCGATCTTTCTGGTAAATCCAAAAGAATTTTGTGAAGAAGGTCCAAATATTAAATTACTTATTCCAACTTGCATTACTATAGTATAAGTTAATCTTCTAAATATTAAATCAGATCCCACAACAGCTAAGTTATTGGCGAGTTGTTTATTATCTTGAAATATTGATTCAACTGAAGTCGTGTATCTTCCACTTTTAAATTTCATTCCGTTAAAAATATTTGATACAAACATTTCATCATCAATTGCAACATCAACACTTGCAAATGGGATATTAAAAGTTATATCTGGTAGCCCGGTTAGGTCAGCTACAACATCGGTGGTTAAGGTGTTTGAATTTTTAATCCCAACAGTTACATCATCCAAAGCAAGTTTAACAGGTCCGGTACCATCTATACAACCTTTAATAATACTTGTAATTTTCGTTTTAATTGTTAATAATATTGGATTTAACGGAAGAGAAATCAATACTTTACGAAAAATATCTATAATATCTCTATCGGAATTTGAATTACCAAATAATAGTCCATTGATATTTGCATTTCCCGAAATGGCGGTATCATCAGTTCCTTCAATTAATGATTTGGTTAAAGACGCTATTTCATCTTGTAATTCATCAGAATCTTGGATAATTAATGCAGCAGTAAAGCTTGTTGAAATGACATTATTATACGAAATTATTTTGATATCAGTTAATATTACTCTTGTAAATGACGAAGCATTTAATGCAACTGATAATTCAAGCATTCTCATATCAACGTTTAGTGGAAGTGAAATATTTTTAATCCCTATATCTCCATTAATAACCAATTCTTGTCCATCTGGATTCATATCAACTGCGATATTATCAATATCTAATCGATTTAACATTCCCTCGATTGTTAAATCCGTTAAAGAAAGTCCAATCATTCCTAATAATTTTTCGACGACTTTTTGATTAAGAATCGAGGATGTTGGAATCTTTACGATTACTTTTTCAAAAACTTTAATATGATCATCAAGAGAGACACCGATCTTGAATCCATTAATACTGAATAATTCATTTGTATCTCCTAATCTATTTTGTTGTAGAGAATTAACAAATGAAGCAATTTTATCCGGAACTTGATCATCAAATACTTGAAATACTAATTCTGATACAATGGAAAGTCTATTATTAGCACCAGAATCAATTGAAAAATATGATAAATTTGTATCAATGATCTTGATTAAATCTAATCCTAATGATAATTCAATAAATCCAAGTTCAATCGTAATAGGAAAATTATTATTAAATGATGCTCCAACATTTACCAACATCGAATTTTTATCGGTTGATGAAATTTCCAATGCATCCAATTGAAATCCAAATTGTTCTATGAAAGTAATTGGATCAATAAATTTTGGTATATACTTAATTATTGGTGTTATTAATCTTTCTAAAGGTAATTCTAAAGAAATTAACGATAAGGCATTAATATTGTCGTCATTCGATATACCGATAATAGGGTTTCTAATTGCAAAATTTCCTTTCATTGGAGGAGAATTAATGAAATCTTGAGTTAATTCACCAAGTTTATTGGCCAATTCATCGGAATCATTAATTTTTACCGAAGTAGCGATCGAAACAGAATTTTTTTTACCCATAACAGCCAATAATATATCAAAAGTTGGTAGATCGTCCAAAAAGATTCCAAAGCCGGCACACCCAATATTCATCGTTAATGAAAATGGTATACTAATTGAAGTTGTTATTATCATTTCAATTATTTTCCCTGGTAAAAATTTGATATCCAATTGACTTAAAACTATTTGAACTAAATTTGAAATGATTATTGAAATTGATCCTTGATCCACTGATATTAATGTTGAATTATTATCATTTAGAATGTTTGAAATAGAATCAATTATTCCATTTAAATTTATTTGTCCGGTAATTAAAGTTCCAATTTCTGTTGAGAGAGAGATTTGTTCAAATGTACGAATAGAATCTTCTTTTGAAATCCCAAGTGCAATTCCATTAATGCCACCTACTGTCGAAATGAATTCACCATTAATTAAAGAGTTATAAATCTTTTTAACGGATTGTGGAATTGATTCCTTATCATTAAATGTGCATTGAATCCTAAGTGAAATATCATTTTTCCCGACACTTTGGTTCTTAATTTCAAAGATTTCAATGGATGTAAATTGTGTGTTATCTAACGTAATTCCATTAATAACGAAATAATCGATATTAGCATTAATTTCAAATGGAATATTTAATTTAGCACCGATTTGTAATGATAATATCCTATCAGATAACGTTGTAATATCAACAGATTGTAATTGTGAAAAAGATAACAATTGGTTCAAATTAATCGGTAATTTAACCAGTGATAATTCAAATAGTTTATCCTTATACAAATTAACATCAATCAAATCATTTGGTAATGGAAGATTAAGTAAACTTAATAAATCATTGTTTTCTTCATTTGACTCTCCAAAATAAATTTCACCTAATTCGATTTTTTGTTTGATTTTTCCATTTAAAATATTTTTAATAAATTCATTCACAGCTGTTTTATTGCCGTCATCAAATCTCATCAATAAAACAACATTCATAGTTCCTTCATTTCTCACAAAATCAATTTGGCTGATTTCGAATGTAACAAGATTATTTCCATCCAATACGATGGTAGCCCCAAAAAACGGAATTCTGGCACCAATAGGTAATGGATTAGTATAATTGAAGGCTGATTGAACCTGTAATTGAGAATTTTCTTTTGTTTCGATTGAAATGCTTGAAATAGTTGGAAACGCGAATGTTGTTTCTGATATTGGCAATAACCCAGAAATATCGATAATAGTATTTTGTGGATTTTTAATCATTTCTAATAAATTAATAGATCTTAATTTTTCGGCGGGAATAAGTGAAGGAGGAATTGTAATATGTACAGTAGCAAACTGATCGATGGTGGATAAAGTAACATTAGCGTTTTCTCTTTGAGTCATAGAAGGAGGAAATATCGTTAAGCTTTTCATTCCGATGATTGATCTAAAATTTCCTTCAGTGCTGATTAAATCATTATATAATTTTAAAATATTATCTGACATTCCATTTTTACCGTTAACAATATCAATTTTCATTTGTAAATTTAATGGACTTTTTTCTAATGAGAATTTAATTGGCGATATTGTTATGTTAGCCAATTCACCATAAAATAATGTAGTTACAAATGATACTGATCCGATATTAGCTGCTATGTTTGTTGGATTATTAAGATTCGTCTGAACATTAACTGATAAAGAATTTGAGGATGTGACAGCAAAATCAACTCCCGTTAATGATAATAATCCAGTCTGTTGTTGGATTGATTTTGAGATGGTTTCTATCGTCGTTTTAATTGCCGATCTTAATGTCGCTAAATTAATCGGTACCACAACTTTGCTAAATGTTACAAAATTTTGAACTTCACTTGATCCTAATTTAATTCCACTAAGACTGATGAACTGCATTTCAATATCATCTTTCATACTTAGAACACCTATAACTAAATCTGCAATAGTTGATTTCAATCTTTCGTCTTTATTAAATATAGCGGAAGCGACAATATTTGATGAATTTTCTCCTGCGGTGTATTCTATTCCATTAGATAGTTTGACGGTTGTTAACAATTTATCATCGATATATATAGATGTTTTCACATACCCAATACTAATAGTAATGATTGGAAGGGATGGAGGATATTCAATCGCAAAGGTTCCATTAACATCGAATCCAGCTACGTCGCTTCGTTGCGTCACGTTCATTTCAATTATTTTCGCTGGAACATTTTTTCCGTTTTGAGTGATCTTATTAATTATCGCGGTCGTATTAAATCCGGGAATTGGAATATTAAGAAAACGTTTTCCAAGTAATCGATCGACCCAAGGGAATGTTTCTCCTGTTTCTTTTAAAATTTCAAAGTTCTTTATATCAGCGCTTGAAATGTTTCCAAGTAATGAAGGATTTACTATCGAAGCTAAAGCATCGGCCGCTTCCAAAGTATTATTTGGTGTTAAGGTGGTCGTAGTTTGAACCCTTAACGTTTCATCATTCGTCATTGAAATTTCACTCAGAACAACCGTGAGAGCATTTTGTTCTCCTTTAAATATTCCAAATGAAATATTATATTTAAATTCAAAACTTGGCGGTAAAGGAAGGAAGCTTGGTAAGGTGATGACAGCAGGAATAATTATTTGATCTCCTTGTACTTTAATATCCAAATGTATCTTGTGTAATAAACTTTCGATTCCTTTAACATCCAATAGATTTCTTAATAGGTTAACATTAGTATTTTCAATAATTTCATTAATCGGTAACAATAGGGATAATTTTTCGGTGATGTCTCGAATAATGTCAACACCTTTAAGTGCAACTGGTCCAATGATGTTAAATTGTAACCCTTCATTTGATTGATCCACTCTAAGTAATTTTCCTATCGATTCAGATATCGAATTGCATAATTGATCTGGACTTACGATCCTACTTTCATCAAAAGTGAGTCGTAAATTTAAGTCGAGATCATTTAATCCTTGGATTAAATTAAACCCGTTAACATCTGCCGTCGCTAAATATGAATTTTCCAGTTGTAGGCCAAAGGTTGTATCAGGTAAAGGTACAGAAAAAACCGTTGGATTCACCATCAATACCTTTAATGTAATATTTGGTCCCGCATCTGTAAACACTATGTCCAACGCTTTCATATTGATTGGTGGAAACTACATTTTGGAATCAAAAAGGAAGAATGATGATTTTGGCGCAGCAACACTTGCAAGTGGCGCAGAAGAATTTCATAAAAAATTTAACTTACCCCTGGAAGGATTTGCCAGAATACAATTCCATCTATTACGAGGGGTTTATGAACATCGACAGCATCGTTGGGCACAATCACTTGTTGCACTATACAATTGCAAAAAAAAAAAAAATCATCATAAACGATTTTTTATGTTTAAAAAAAAAATTGCTCGTCACAATATTTCATATTTACTTTTTTTGGATAATAAGAATTTAGGCATGTTATTACAAAGTAACATTAAATTTCCATCCAACTTAGGTATTTTAATAATTCGTTTAATATCCAAGTTCTTGTACCAAGTGATACCCCACATTTGTACAGTTATTTGAGTAACAGCAGAAATTGAAGTTTCTTGTATGCCACCAGGTTGGGAAACTTTTCCAATTAAATTTTTTAATCCGAATTCTTCAAATATAACATCTCCTTCAAATTCAAGTACGATAGGTTTACCAATATTAATTTCCATTTCTGGTACGCTAATTTTCAATAGACTAATTGATTCTGCATCATGCAACTCTAAATTTAAAGAGGCTAATTTAGTTTGCATTGAAAGAAAAAATTGTTTTGGTATAACGGCCTTCCAAGAAAATTTTAATCCATTGGATTTCCATTCTATCACGTCAATATAATCAATTGTTATCTTGTTTAAATCAAGTCTCTTTACTTTATATCTTAGGATTGCCGGTATGATTACAAAATAAATCAATGGCGCCAAGATAATTGGGAATAATAATGATATCATCACCAAATGAAGTAAGATGAATTTTGATTTGCTTAATTGACCATTGCAATAACGTAACTTAGATTTTTCGTGATTTGGCGCATCTACGTAAATAGGTTTATACCATGATTTTACACAGTCGAAAAGTGAATTTCTTGTATTATTATCGGAATCATAAGATTCTTTATTGGGTAATTCTCCTGTGTTAATATTGATCGCGTGAACATGATCTCTTGGATTATTCACTAGATAAAATGAAAAGGAAAAAAAAAGTTAATTTATAAAAGAAAAAGATCAAAAGTAAATGAATATAATCTTACTTTATTTTTATTTTTCAATTTGAAATTTACAGTAAAATAAATTGTGATTAAGCTCAAAATTGAATTATCTATGCCTATTTTTTAAAAAGAAAAAAAAGATAAAAATCCTTTTTCATCAATAAAAAGAAATCGTTAAAAAAAATCGAAAAATACGGAGCTTTATAATTATATATATCTTTGATTTTTTAAAGTAGTCTTTGAAATAAGAGAAAAGAGTATATTTTTTTTTGAATTGGTTAATGACGGAGTACTTTTTTTTTGATGACCAAATTTGCGTAATGATGTCATAAGTGAATGCCTTTTTAGAATAATATTTTTAGGGCGCAGAGCAGAGGCTGATATAATGTTGTGTAAAATATTTAAATATATTTTTTACTTTAATAGGTAAAAACTTTTCTTGAATTAGAAATAAAGTCATAGAAAGGAAACTGCCAGAAAAAATAAATGATTTTTTAGGTCAAAACATGTTCAGAATTAGCATTAACTCATTTTTTATTTTTTCCACAGTTCCCCCTTTACTATTGCATAGGTCCCATATGATTACAAATATGAAATTATGGAAATAATTAACTATAAGGAACTTATTTCATAATTGCGCTTTTGGTGATATACGGAAGAACTTTAAACTTCCCGATTGCCAGATAATCATGTTAATTGACGAGAGATCCGAACATCTCAATTAATTAATTCTTGTGAAAAAAAAGTCGCTCTTTGTAAGGCACATATTAACCGCTTAACGGAATGAAATTCTTAATCAATCTTTTGATTCTTCATTTGTAACTAAATAAAAAATTATACTGACAAATTATTGATTACGTTTAACGTTTCATTATCTTAATGCATTAATTTAATATTTGAAATATTTATAAATATTAGCGTAATATAATTGTATCCAAAAGTTCTATTACGAGTTCCTAAAAGTATAACTTGAAGGAGTACTACGATCTTACGATCATTTTTACTTCAACTTTGTTGTAAATACTTATTTTTGCTAAATGTTTTAACACTAAAGATCCAAATAAAAATCAAATTGGATTATACCTAAAGGCGTTTAACACATGAAAACTTATTTGTTGTAATATTGAAAAAATAGGCATCACCATAAAGGGTTGAAGTTATAGATGCCTGCCGAAACCTCCTCAAAATAATTTCGTCATATCTTTTCTATGTTTTTAATATAGTTTCGACAGTTTCGGCTTTCGTCGTATCGAAAGGGTTTCGTCGTATCCCTTATTATGATTTTAATATAGTTTCGTCTAAGTTTCGACTGTTATTAAGGGGTTTCGTCCCTCATCATTAGTTGAAGTATATTAAATATTTTAGAAATTGTCTAACATTTGTATCAAATAAACCAATTTTTAAAAAAAAATATTTTTTTTTATTATAATAATTGCAATACAAATAAAAATTATGATTTTTTCTTAATTTATATTATAATTTTGTTATTTATTTAAAAAAAAAAAAATTATTATATTTATTATTCTTTTTATTATATATAAAATGTAGAATTTTATTTTAATTAACATTTTTTTTATTAATAAATTATTTATTTTATTAAAATAAAGGTTTTATATTTATAATATTATTATTTATATTTTTAAACTATTTTTACTTTTGATTCATATAATTTCCCTAATTTATTACTAATTTATAAGTATAGCTAATATATATTATATTTTAATAAATCTTTTTGAACATTTATATTTACAAGTATATAAATCTGATTAATTGATAATTAAAAATTTTTAATTATATTTAACTTTTATTTCATTTAATTTAAATTAAAATATTATAAAAAAATACAGTATATAATAAAAATTTTGTTTTACAAAATTAAATTAGAAGTGAAATTACTAAAACTTTTACTATAAAAGTATTTATAATTTATATGTAAAATAGTATTAAAACTAAAATAAAATTTAGTTTAATTGTCATATTATTAAGAAAAGCAAACTAATAATCATAAATAATTTATTATAAAATCTAATTTTATATTAGATAGAATAATCAAAACATTTTTAGATTTAGTAAAACATTTTTTTATTTTTTAATTATATTATTTATTTCTTAATAAAAATATTCATTTATATTAAAAATAATTATTTATTTAATATTACTAAGTAAGCACTAATAATTATAATATTACATATTTAATAGTTTATTATTATGTATTTTGATATTAAAAGAAAAATATAAAGAATTTTATTTAAATAATTTAATTTTTATATATAATATAAAAATAACATTTATATAAAACTAATATATTAATTTATATAACTACAATTTGCTAATTTAATATAAGTAATATATTAAATAAAATAGATATTAAATTATTAGATTTATTTTAATAAGTTTGTATTAAAATTTAAATAATTTATATTTTTAAAATTTTTTGACATGTTTTTATCTTAATTTATTAATTTACATATTATTTAAAATCTTAAATTTTAGATATATTGTCACTGGGTTCATTTTCATTTATCTTAACATCTAAATTGAAAGGTTGCGACAGCTGATTCTACACGTTGGAATTTCTGACCTTAGGATTTTCTCTAAGTTTTACAGGTATCCGTTATACTTGAATTAACTCAGCAATTTATTACGTCTTAGAATTTAAGATATGTTAGTCAAACTCATAATGATAAATTCAATAGCAAGTTAGTGTAGTGTATCACAACAATCCTAGATGAAAGACAACGTTGAAGGGAAAAGTAGTTTGTGTGGATTTAAATTGATTCCTTTATTTATAACTTGAAACTCGTATGAAAC